AGCTTGGAAATTCAAAATACAGTATGGATTGGAGATTATGCCTTATTAAACCTGATATTTTCCCCCTGATGTCTAGTGAATTTGATGAGCTTAATTCCCATAAATATTGTGTTTGGAGACTCGTTGAGAATGACACGACGCTCTGCGCCACTAGAGAGAGTATGTGACTGTTGTGTTTAATGTGTGGGAGGAGTTCATAACGGGTCACTAGAAAACGAAAGTGAAAAAAGAAAAATAAACGACGCAATTTCAAGGCTTTAAAATGTTAATACTCGTTTAAAATGGCTGCATATTTTTAGGTAAGTTCAAAACTTATTCTTCGTGTAACCATGTAATCATACAAAAATGAGGTGCTATTTGGGATTTTTGGTCTTCCTTATGTTTCGTCAGCTATATCCCATCAAAATGGCAGAAAGATCCACAAAAAAAGTGTTTTTACTCTGATCTTTGTTTTAATTTTATATAGCATGCGATAATATAAACACTGTCGTATATAATGTTTATATTTGATATGTGTAGATCAACAAAGGTCTAAAAGTTTGACATACATTTTTAGTTTGAATTTCTCTACCAGGACACGTTATTTCCTACAGTAATTAGAAACAATATTTATAATCAGCATTGGCTGTTGATTCTGTTGTGCAATCACTAGAAAATGAGATATTATCATGTTGTCATTATGCTCAAAATAACCTCTGAATTAATGCTTCATTTGTACTGTATACAAATTAGTGCAATATTAAAGTTCAAGTATATCCACTAAAATGCTAAAACTGTTGTAAAACTTTATAAATAGTTTATTGTGTACAGGTTTCCAGCCACTACTGTAACAAAATAGTATAAGCTGAAACAGTGAGAAATAAATAGACTACATGAATATACCTGAATATAACAAAAGTATCTGATCATGAGCAACTATTTAAAAATGATTACATTGATGTTTGAAATTAAACATTAATTTATTGTATCTATACTGTACAGTACTATGGTTGTTTTTTTATCTCTGTGTTTCCACATAAAAGGTCTGAAATAAACACTCTTTGATAAATGAGAGTAGGAGGACATTGACTCAAAGGTACAACCAGAGCAGGTAGTTTAACTAAATGGAGCACAAAACAACAAACCAGCAAAGACATGAGAGAAGAGAGCACAATAAATAGGGAGGAAAGCGCATGAGTGCCAGGTAAACACAATTAGTGAAACAAGGCCTAGATAAGGACTAAACAAGGGGGCAGGATGGGATGAGAACATGGCCAACAAAAAACAAAGACAAAGCCATGAGCTCAAGCACAAGACAACATTTAACAAAGACTAAACAGATAAGGCTGTCAGGACAGGACTTTGACAATAACACTAAATACATTTTAAACTATGCAGTGAAAAGGGGCAAAACTTAAAAAATGCATGCTCTTTTATTTTGAATTTTCTTAGCAGGAGGGAAATATGTGGGCCATTCACTGCATCTCACTATCAGACTCCCATTACGCAGGACAACATTGTAGCAGTCCTACAGAAACATACACTGGAGACTGGAGACCTACAGAGAGTCAAAAACCATCACAAAACCAGCATGAAGAACAAATATGAGAGATTATTTGAGGGAATCAAACTCCAAGAGAATGAAACCCTACTGAACAGGATCTACACACAGCTCTACATCATAGAGGGAGAGAGTGAAGGAGTGAATGAAGAACATGAGGTTTTACAGATGGAGAAAACAGCCAGAACACAACACTCAC